GCTCACACATCCCGACACAGAGAAGTTAGTCCAAGAAGTAAACAAAACTACACAACGCATGCTGTAGCAAGTAGAGCATGACTCGGCGGGAATAAAGAATATCTTAACCAAAATTGAACAAGTAGGGAAACACCACTGGTGGGATATCTTTACGGGATATTCCCCAACAACAACCCAGGTTTTTCATTACTTGATACACCCAATCTTGATCATATCAATAGCTACGTTCCTGCTAACCCTTCTGAACGTGTGTCTGTGGTGTAAACTAAACTCCATAATCACAAGGACACAAGTAATCTGGGCAATGATACAAGCTTATCAACACCCTCAAAACTAAAACTTGATGAAAGAATTCGTAAGTTTGAGAAAGGGGGGAAATGAAGCCAAACAAGGCCTAGAAAGCAAATGTAATATAGCAATACGAAAAGTAGAGAGTTAAATTCGGAATATAGATTCTAAGCAAAAGGACAGAAGACTTGGTCTTAGAAACAGTGGAGGCAATAATTCATTAAGGTATGCAGAACACACAGACACGAAAGAACAGAAGCATATGTACTTAGGAAAACAGGAGGAACTAAGAAGTTAAAATGGGTATATAGAATGAAAACGAAGGTTGATAAGAAAGGAAGATGAACCAAAACCTAGGTATCCTTGCCAAAATATCAGAAACCTCTGCCAGATGCACTAGGAAATCAGCCAGAATAGCGAAGTTCACGAAAGTTTATGATGGTGATGAAAGCAAGGACAAGGAGTCATGAGGCCGAAGAACAGGAACGACCCCTCAAGTTCTCCCCAAATTGAAGACCACGCCTCTAACTCCACCTAAACTCCACCTGTTATGAATATTAAAAATGTATGTTGCAATATTATGCATATTCATGCTTGATGATGTAATTGCTTGGTAAAAATTGTATAAAAGACCAACTGTGAATTGCTGGAACGAAGCAGTTTGTCCAGGGCGACCTGGCTGCTTCCAGTGCCATGAATAAAACATACTTCCTGCTTAAAGGTTAAAAACTTTGTCTCTGAGCAGTTACTCAATCCGTGCCTTTTTGGGGCCATAAAATTGGCATCAGCGGCACTCAGGACGTCCACTATTTGCAGAATCAAGCATGGTTCTGATGTTCCAGCATGCAAGAGTCAGTTTGGTTACACCTTTGGAGGCAGGTGTATGCCTTTGTCTTTTGCTCTTTGTGTGACCGCATTAGTAGAAGATGCCCGTTGGCCGTGGTTAACCAACCGGGTGAAATGTGGAGATGAGCTCTGATTAGGCCACCTTTACTAGGCCCCTCTCCGAGTGGAGCAAGCAGTGCTGTCCTTGAAAAGGCTACTTGGTCGTTCAGGGTGTTGCCCCAAGAGACTGTCATCTCCGGTCAGTCTCAAATGACCAATATCCTGAACCGCCTGCATGCAGGGTTGAGTCTGCGACTTCCAGTGCACCTTTCACCTGCTGTTTCGACCCTCGCCTGTCGCTACAGGGCTTTGTGAATGTGGGTAAAGCCTTTGAGCCTGCGCAGTGGATTTTTTTAGGTGAGACGCATTACGCGCGGAACTGGACCCACCCTTTAATCCTAAGGTTTATCTGCCAGGGCCAAGTGAGCTTGGACGGTGGCAGTGAGGTCCTCAGGACATAGGTTTGATTAGAGTGACCTTCTCTTAGATGGATGACCTTACAGGGCTAAGCGAGTTCCATCTGCCCGGGTTTGGGATGAGAGTTATCCTTCTCCTAGGATGACTGTCAGAAGGCTAACAAGCTCATCCTGCCCAAGGATGTATTGTATCTGGTCCTACGGTTTTGACCTGTCTGGCATGGGTGACCCTACCGAAGGCATGTACCATTGCCAGCATAGCTCACAACCGCATAGGGTTACACAGACTACATTCCTACTATTAAAATGATTAGGGCAAGTTTTACACTTCCTACTTTTCTGCCACCTATCTATATTCAATCCCAAGGAAATACCCAGGAACAACCCTTTGTCCTGACCACCCTTTCAGGATGTAACGAATATATCTGGAACATACTGAACCTGGGCAGTAGCCGCAGGTGAACCAAAAACAAACAAACGCACAAAACCGTTCCGACCCCCATACCCACCTAGGGCTCGAGTACCTCTCAAGGCCCTAGCCCGGCCGAGACCCCCAACCCCCCAGAGGAAACCATTATCCACCCTGACCTTATCCTCCCCCCACCATGTTACCTCATATCTTCCCACACACCACTTACCTGCGACACTTCATGCAGGGCTACCCTGCCTGCCCACCCGCCAGTCCGAGGACCCCCACGGTCTGCCCAGCACCCTTCCCCTCCCCCAAACCAGACCGACAAACCTCTGTGTGCTCCGAGGCTTCCACTCTCCTCTCTCACGAGGGTGCAAAGCCACGTTGGTGAAGCTCCCTCTCTCCTTTCCCCTGCCGTGGGTGGCCCCGCGTGGGCCCGGGGGTGGCCCCGGGTCACGTAATCTACCGAAGGCTCCACAAACTGCACAGATTCTAACAGAGACCAAAAAACTGCTCACGAACTTCCTCTTTACTATCGTGTTACATGACAAAACAGTCACCAAAAGGAAAAAAAGAGCCAACTTCAAAAGCAAGCTAGTACCAGGAAGTTATGAACTTCCCCCGCTGAAAAATTCCTTATCTGGTTCCTAATTACAGGATCCCGATGAGCATCACCCAGATACGAGACCCACATTTAACAACCTAGACGTTTTAACAACACAACTTTGAGACTTAAAAGATACATTTGAAACCTAACAGCCTTATAAGATCTCATCGCGATTAATGCAAACAACCCACTGCTTCTTTAGTGTAAGTACCGACCGCGAGCAGAGAGAAAGGGCGGGGTGGGCTCAGCTCCCCCCGGGACCACTCCCCCCCGTGTCCCCCCATCCCATCCCTGGCTCACCGGTCATGGTGACAGCTCCGCTCAGGCCTCTGCACCATGGGGCTTCCGCCCGGGCCCACACACTTCAGAGGGACAGATGGACAGTCAGGCTCGCCACCCTTTTCTGGGGGAATTTCCAGGTGGGCAGGTGAACACAGCGCTGTGGAACCGCCTCCTGCCCGCCCCCGCCCAGCAGCAGTGGCGCAGGGAGCAGGGAGTGGCTATCCCCCCACTGAGACCCCCTGTTATGACTCGCCCCAGGAAAAGGGGAGGGGGGTAACCCAGGTTCTCATCAATAATTCCCTTGGGGTGAATTAGAGTGAAACGACACTGAATAATCGGTTTATGGACAGACCATACAGGAGAACTGTATGGTGAGTGTATGGGGACAACTACCCCTTGCTCCTGCAATTCTGCAATTTCTGGGGTAATGTTTTCACGTGTTCCTAAAGGGAGTGGGTGGGGGTTTACATTTGTTATTTTAGAAGGAGTCAAACTTGGAGCAGTTTGCAACAGACAGACAGAGGGAGATGGGAGACCAAACACCCATTCTCTCCCTCTGGTGTCTGTCCAGGCTCGCCCCTTTAGTAGATCCAACCCCAGGATGTTCGCTGGTAATGGCCCCACAATCATGATAGTTTCTGTGGCTGTCTCATCTCCAGGCAACCAGCATTTCACCCTAGCAGTGTATTGGGGTTGGGATTTGCCAAAAGCATCAGTTACCCATATCTTTTTTTTGTCTGGCTTAATGCCACAATGAGCAGCAGCTTCAGTTTGGAGTGCTGAGATCTGTGCACCCGTGTCTACTACAAATGTAACCAAAGATTTAAAAGGGTCGAGAGGAAAAGTGATTACCATATCTCCCTGACTGTTTTCTGTGAGCTTTCTCTCATAAACCCACTGGTCATTTTTTGGTTTATTTACTTGAGAGCGGTAAGTCCAGTTTCTTGCCTCAGAACTGGTCAAACTGGTTAGTCCTGTTTCTGGAGAGGTTGAGGGGATCACAGTGTTGGACTCCTTAGGGGGGCTGCCCCTAGGGGGTGACTCGTGCTCTTTGATCTTATCCCAGTGCTTTATCAAGTATTCCAAATTAGCAGTGGGTAATTTGTCCATCACTTCTCAAGGAATTCCTTTTGCAATACCTTCCACCCACAAACTGCATCTCTTTCCCCCGCTTAGATGATGCATTTTGTTGACAAATACCTGGCGAGGCAGGTTTTTGGACCTTCCCTGCCCTCCTGCTGTGTGTTCTCTGGCCACTTGTACCAGAGAGCCCCAGCTGCTGACCAGTAGCTATTAATTCTTGGGCTATCTCCAACCAGGTTATCCCTGGTGGAGCATCCCTTCTTCTAGGTCTGGAGGTTGCCTTTATGTGCTCCTGTAATTGTTTAGCATAAACTTTTAGTGCATCAGGCAGGCCTCGGATTAAGACCGGAAATCTCTGTGGATCCGCCTCGAGTTCCATTGGGGAATTTCGTTGTGGGTCTAATAATTTTGTGTGCAGTAATTGGAGACATGCGGTTTTTTGTACACTTTTTACAATGTGACCAATTGTGGGTGTTTTAATCGTGTGAGGATCTCCCCTTTCTATAGGGTCTAACCCGCCTGCCCAGTAGGCAGCTCTTTGGGTCAGGGACCACGTTGCTCAGTTATCATTTGTGGTCAGGAAGACCCCTGGGCCCCAAAATCCTCTGACCTCATCTTCACTCAACAAAATCCGATCTCCCCCGGTAAGGGACACCCTCCACACATATTCAGTTTCTGATTCACTGGCCTTACGGATGTATTTCTCCTGAATTTTGGTGAGTACTTCCCCCGTGTACGGGGCAGTGCGTGTGGTAGTTTGCCAATCTGCCCCTTGGCCAGTGGTTTCAGTTTTAATGAGGGGATGCATATGTATTACCTCGTCCTCCGAATGACCTTGCTTAAACTCTTCCAATTCCCCAGAGGGGTACAGGGATTTGTTAACATCTACCGGTCTAGGGTATTTTGAATTGATGTCCCGTAATTCACAATTTTTCATTTCCAGTATCTTTTTAAGCCTTTCATTTTTTTCTTCCTCATCTTGCAGGGCTGACCGAAGCAACAAGTTAATGTCTCTCTCCCCCCGAACTGCCTCACGCTCAGCAGTTAACTGCAAGCGTTCTTTTTCTAATTGCTCCTGTAATGCCTTCATTGACTCTTGAAAAGATCTTATCACTTCACTGGTACATTTTTGAATAGCCTCTTTTTCTAGCTGGTCCTGCAAAGCTCTCATTGACTCTTGGAAAGATTTTATCACCTCACTTACAGATTTCTGAATAACCAATCTGTCATGGTTTGAAACTGGCTCCCCCTCAAGAACAGGGGGGCTCAGAGGTGATTGGGTGCCAGGGCAGTGTTGCCTCGAGAGCCAATCACCACTCATGTTGTTCGCTTCTGTTCAAAATCATATATAGACAGCACTGGAAGCTGTTGGCAGTTCTGCTGTTGGTGTCTGCTGTGTGTAGGTGTGGAAGGCCAGGGGGTGGCTGGGTTCCTTCTTCCCCCCTTCCGGGGAGGAGGAGGGGAGCCCTGCAGCCCCCCAACTCTGCCTAGGCCAGAGCAGAGTTAAAGGCAGCATTTTGAGTGTGTGCAGTGAGGGAAGAGACTCACAGCACCTGACCTGAGGTAAGAGGAGAGAGGCAGGCTTTGCAGCCAAGCCCTCTCCCCTCTCCTTTCTACAGTTAAGCTGTGGAGGGGGGCTTTTCCTTTCCCTCTGCTGGAAAGTGGAGGAGAGGCTCAGCATTGAAGTTGAGCCAAGAGACGGGCCGGAGGAGGAGGTTCGGTGCTCGGGAGAAGAATCCCAGGCGAAATTGGAGACAGGCCAAGGGCTCGGGAGTTGCCCTGCCAAAGCTGACCGGGGGCAGCTGAAAATTGACTTGGAGGAATGAAGATTCCAACGCCTACTGTGATAAGCTACGCTGCAGCAGCCTACGAGCCGAGGTATGAGACTGAGAGAGAGAGATCGTACAGCAGAAATGACACAGACCAAGGAGAAAGGACTCAAAGCTACTTTTCTTGGACTTTGTGAGGAAGGAAGGACTTCCAGAAGCATCTGAAGGTTGGTTAGGGAGTGTTCAAGGGTCCAGAACACTCCCACGAGAGAAAGACTGGTTACCCAGCAGTCTTGAAAGGCTCTTCCTGGACTAAGTTAAAGGGAGGGGCTTAAAAGGACTGAGAGAAGTGTAATAATATATATATATAGTTGCCTTTAGTTTGTATAGTATATTTATTTGTGTAAATACATATATATACTTCTCCTTCCCCTATAGAAACCTCTGCCCTGAAAGTTTCTCTCCGGTGTTGGGATAAATTGTGGGAAGAGGTGGGGGGAGGCCTGGAAATTGGATTTTGGATTTCTAATGTGGCTCAAACTGCCACACAATCTTTCCTTTCGCACTGTTCTAAGGACAATGCCTAAAACAGCACCTACAAAAAACAGTCCTAAACCAAGGACAAACATCAGGAGGGAATAATCCCCATATAACTCAACTTGAGGTGTCATCCCTTTTGACTCAATCATTAACCCAGCTCAGGTTAATGTCTTTCTCCCCCTTAACCCTCTGAGGGTCGGTTTGACTCTCTCCTGGAAAACCTTTCAACAGGCCCAGGTACCAGAGAACCTTTCAACAGCTCCAGCCTACACAGGAAACCTTTCAACAGGTCTGATGTGCCCAGGTCACACCGAGAGGAGAAAAATTCTCACTATAATTTTACAACGAAGGGACAGTCACCATTTGACTCACCCTCGGTATCAGTTTTGGACTACACCGATTACCCCACCACATCCAAAGGATCCTGCCGACTATGCCAAAAATGTTACGACCTGCCCCAGGAAAAGGGGAGGGGGGTAACCCAGGTTCTCATCAATAATTCCCTTGGGGTGGATTAGAGTGAAACGACACTGAATAATCGGTGTCTGAAAACATATATAGGTAGGGTTTATTTTAAACATATATAGGTAGGGTTCACTTTAACAATTTTGTTTCAACAGGTATGCTAGCATTTTGGGTGTTGTCATATAACAATGTGACATAGAGATAACCTTGGGGGGGGAGAAAATGCATAGGGGAGAGAAAGACAGGATAAGAGTAAGGGAGAGTAAGGAAAAAGAAAAGATGAGAGTGGAAAAAAAACGTATATAGTCACCGCCCACGGGGTCCAGCGATGACACTTGGTAGTTGCCGCTTCCATGTCTGTCAGTTGAAGTGGTGACCTTGATCTGCTGGGGGTGAAGGAGGGAAGCCCCCACACGCCAAGAAGTTATGAGTTATTATATCCATGGTTAGTGTCACGGGCCATGCCTCGAACCTCCAACCTCTCCCTGGACCTGCGCAGAGTTTCTGTGTCTGGTCTGGTTCCCGCCTTTCAAGATTGGCAGAGGGGGGGATGGGCTTTGATGGGCCATCAGAGGTATAATGCAAAAGTAAACTCGACTCTTCCTGCCTTTTCAGGGCTTGACACCTTCAGCACTGGAGGGAGGGATGGGCCCAACTGCCAATTAGAGGTATAATGTAAAAGTCAAAAGCCTGCAAAAGTCTCCTAGAATGCATAAATCATTAACCGTTTCAGTCTCTGACACCCCCGGCTCCGGGACACCAGTCTCCTGCTGCCGTGGGGAGAAGGCAGCAAGAAGTTTGTCCTCCAGCCCTGCCCTTCCCGGTAGCCAGAGGTACAAAGGGAAAAGTTCAATCCTTCTGATTTCAGTGCACGGCAGAGAGAACTTGAGCCTGTTTCCGTCCATAACCTCGCCCTTCTTTCCAGCAGCATCCCTACAGCACTCCGACATCCCCATTTCCCACTCTGTCAGCCCCAAGAGACCCAGCTCCCTCATTATCCATGTTTTCCTCAGCTGCATGGAGCCTGGAGAAAGCTCCAGGGAGACCCTACTGCAGCCTTCCAGTACCTATCCAAGCCCCCTACCTTCCAGCAGGGGGTTGTGGTTGTTTACTTTGGCTGAACACCAGGTATCTACTGAGCCTGCGCCCAGTTCCTCCAGGGAGAAGGGGAGGGGGAAAAAGGGAAAAGAGGGAAGGAAAAAAAACTAGTCCGGGGCTGCTAAGAAAGATTATTTATATTTACACAAAGATAGAAAAACACTATAAGCAATATGCATACAAAGAAGAACTAAAAATAAAGATACTCCCCACACAACTGACGCTTTTCTTCCCCCAAAGGAACTGCCCAAAACCGCCTCACTCAGTACCCGGAAGAGACGAGCTCTTCATACTACTATGTTATACTTAAATATAGAGCATTTATTATCATGTTTATAGAAGCCACATGAACATAAGAATTGTCTTCCAGTTGGCTTGCTCCTACTCTGTATGTGTTCAGCGAATGCTCTTGAGTTCTTCACAGCACACAGGCTCTAAGCATTTAACACAAGCAGTAACAGCACCTGGTGCCTGATTATGGTGCACTACCTGCTTTGTCCTACATGATTCTCTGCAACCTTTTATTAGTAACTGGCAGTTGATGCCTTAAGGTCCTTTTAGTTTTTTGATTTTTCTAATTTTTATAAGTTTTATAAGCAGTTATATAGCAGAAGTAGATTTTAAAAACAGCACCATGTATTCCTTTACCCTTACCCCTTACCCTTAGCATAGTAACTACACACATTCCCCAACCCTATTACCCCATTCCATGCTCCCCATATCAATTATCCCTTGAATTCCATTAGAAAATGTTTAGTCTCCTGTCAAGGTAGGTCTATTCTGTTTAGAAAACACTTGTACTTTGGCCTAAACTGCAGAGTACAGTCAAACTCTGGGTAACTATGTGCCCTTTGTGCTCCGAGGAAGACTAGAAGGATAAAGTAAGTGGTCCCGAAAAGACCCCCGCCTCAGTTCCCCAGGGACGGGCTGAAGGTGGACCAGGGCAAAAGCCAGAGGGTGGGAGAACCTCGGATTGGACAGGCAGTATTATAAATTGTAACATCTGTAACAGAGGGGCACGCACGCGTCTTGTAACTGAATTAAATCCTTTTCTTATCTCCAATTAAATTGCTTTGGAGTTTTTTTCCTCAGCTCCTTTTAGGCCTCATAGTCAACCACTTCATACTATAAAAGTTGAATTCCTCTTATACAGCCAAATTACGAAAATCCTGAAATTTGAAGTTCTTTTGTAAAAATTGTTTAATAGTCTAGATTCATCGTGTTATCCAGACCTGTGAGGTTAGGCACTCCTATTCATCTGTTCCAACTTGAAAACTAAGTCTATGTTCAAAGGTGAAACACTGACCCCCTGTATGTTAACTAGAAAAAAATTGTCTCAAGTCCTATTAACTACCCATAACCACAGCATAGCATGCAGATGACCCTAGCTAACCCAAAGAGACAGAAATAGCTGGAACCCATTCAGATCTCTTCACTAAAGATATGATTACAAAGATACTATTGTCTAAACTTTTACTGTTAACTCATTTGTTATGAACATTTTATGTTGTTTTCCTTGTTTTCCGTATTTTTCATCAATATGCTGTTTAATTTGTTCAACAGTGGCATGGTCCAACCACAGACCATGCGGTGAAATGTATTTGTGCTTAATTAGATAATGCTACTTTGGTCTGTGTTTGGCCCAGCCACTTGCAGTGACTACTGACAGGTTCTCTTTCAAGTCCAAAACCCATTAGCATGGGGGAATGTGTGTTTTGCTTTAGAAATAGAAGGAGTATATATTTATCTCTGAACTATAGAAATGTTTATATGTATTTGAATTTTAAATTGAACATGATGCAGAAATATGTTTGTGTTTTACAGGTTATATTTTCATAAAAATAGAAATGTATAATTAGATCTTACTCATCTGAGGGCAAAACACAAGAATGATAATTTCTTAGTTCATAAAACACAGTGACATGAAACTCAGAAGTATATTTGTGTGAAAATGTGTTTGAATGGTGGTGACCATCATGACAATGTGAATAAAAGAAAATGTATGTATGTGTGTGGATAGATGATGATTGATGTGTTTTGATTTTGCTCACAGATACACAAACAACCTTAAATAAAAAACAGAAGACACATAACCCTAAATTGAATGGAGTTCCATTTGCAGAAGTATTTTTAGATTGAATAAAAGCTCTCAAGAACAAACCCTATATTAAAAACACCTTTAAGCAAAAGTTAAAGAGCACAAACCCTGAGGTCATCAAGTTGTTAAGTTTGGTTCAAGGCCATTTGTTTATGGATCGGTTCTGGTAAAGTGTTGAAACAATAACTTAAATAAGGTTAATTTTTGATAGAGAATAATGGGAATAAATTAAGTAGTTTGTTTAAGCTAACTAAACATGTTTTATATTAATCCATGGTTATTTAATCTAGCATTATTTGGAATTTTTTCTTTTTGCATTTGTTCCTTGTTTACTTTTCTATATCTAATGGATGTTTGGTGGTCTTTTTTAATTGGTTAAATGTTTTTAATGTTAGTGCTAGATTTGAGAAGACAGTCATTGTAACATTATTTAGAGTTTTATGCATTTTATTATGTGTCCCCTGTCTGATATCTTGTGTTCAACAAGTGATTGGTCAGAGTTTCTCCCAAGCCTTTGTTTTTCAATTTAAATACGAAAAGGGGGAATTGTGGGAAACCTCAGCTGGTCCGAGGGATCGGAATGTAAGCTTAACATTGACCTTGAGCAGATACCCGTGTATCCTTGAAGAGTCCGGAAAGTCCCGAGAAGAGCTGAGTAAACAAGAACAAGGAACTGCCAGACCGCAAATAGAAGTATCGAAGATGTAGCAAAGAAAAGGTCATCCAATCATGAACTGTTTGTCTTTGAGTGAACCAGTTATGTATGGACACACATTCTTAAGAAAGATATAAAAAGGTTGGTAAAAACAATAAAGGGGGCCTTTGGGCTTTTGGCTTGTGTCATGGGTTAAAAAGGGTTTTCCCCTGGAGTTGGAAAGTGGTTAACTCCAGGGGGTGGTGTTCTTGGTGTAGAGCCAATCAAGTTCGCCCCTGTGAAATTAACATATTACAACAGACCAGAAAAGGAGATCAGATTACGTAGTTGGAAGAGAGGTAGTCATGGCTTGAGACACCATGTGTTTGAGAGAGGGACCAGTGAGCCCCGCTGGGGGCCAAGGCCCCCCAGCCCCTGGCTGGGGCTGCGGAAACCTGGAACAGTATTAAAACTGGACCAGGTACTGTGGTCAAAGACTGGGGGGAGTTTCCTCCACTATGAGTGGGCAGCAGAAGAACGGTGGAGACAGCACTGAATAGAGAGTTGGGGCTGAAAGCCAAGAAGATAGCCAGCAGCAGTGAGATGGCACGGAGCCAGGCTCAGAGACGCAGAGATATCCTGCAGGAGGCAAAACTGGCAACAGAGCAGAGAAAACTCAGTAGAGACTGTTTTGGGGTAAAACGGAATTAAATCTCCCCAAAATCCATTTAGAGACCCTCTTTTGGAAAGAGGGGTGGACTTCCATTTGAAGGGAGTTCCGAAATGCAGCAGCAGAGACGGAGCAAAGGAGCTCTGTTAGAATGCTTGGGGCAAAAACTGAACTGAGAGCCCCTAAACGTTCTGACCCTGGGGAGGAGGAGTGGAAATCCCCAGAGGAGTCTCCCAAGAGTCTGTCCCCGGGGGCTGGAAACCTTTTGCAGAGCGGAGGATTAA